CCGCCCGCTGGAGCCGCTTCAGAAATCCCCGGCCGCAGCAGTGCCGGCTCCCCGAAGGCGCCCGGTACTGACACCACGTCGGAATGAGGCCGCAGGCTGGAAGAGATGACTCCGCTGCAAGGGCAAGGGAGAACAACGAACCACACAAGGACATCAGCGTCCCTGAAGCGGTCCCCCGGCTCAGCAAGCTGAGGTTGAATTTCCACTTGAGCAACGCAGCTCCTTGCTTTCTCCCCTGACTCACGGGGGAACAAGAGTAGCTTTAAAATTGTCCAGCAGCTACCCTTTTTTTTTTTTTTTTGCATCCCTGTACAACCACCTATCAGTTTACGACGTAGATACAGGTTGGAAATAAAAATGATTCAGGAAATATTTAAAGCACTGTTAAAAAAAGCCAGTCCTTTAATAAGTGGTAGGTCGAACGTGTGAAAAACTGTCCATGAAGCAATCTAATAAAACATCACCGTTTCTGAATGAAGACTGCTTTTTTATTTACATGTTGCAACTGGTTTTATTTCAAGAAGAGCAATATACATCTCAAATACATATCTTTCTCAAATAAGCATCTCTCTATATATCATACAGAAATAAGAATACTGCTATATATATAAGTAGGTTTGAATGGATTGAATTCAAAATACCTTTGGATAGTAAAAGCCAAATACATTAAATAAATCTTCCATTAAACACAAGCTAAAAACAGAGCCACAGATAGTACCATAATTGCTCTGCTCTTTTACAACTACCTCATGCAAATAATGTCAAGGTAGAAAGTTTGCCAATTTATTTATATTCAGGATGAAATGAGATAATTCTGTCTCCAACCCAACTGATAATGTGCACTCTTCAAAACAAAGCCATCTCTTGGGAAATGAGCAGTCCAACATTAAGTCACTCCTGCTCACTTTGCCTCTGGTAATAATAAAAACCTACTGTAGAGCTTTTCATCTTCAAAGCATTTTACAAACATTACGTTCGCATAACTCCTCTGCAACTTCACATCAAGAAGCAACCTAAGGCATATGAAGGGCCAAGAGATTTAAAATGCCGATGACTGTTACATTGCAAAACCAGCTATAAAAACACGCTGTAAAATAACTGATGGATTTGGATTCCTCATAAAGCAAGCAGAGCGAATGCTGCCTCAGAGAAGCACCATGCCGACTTCACTTTAAGATACTGGATGTTTACAACAGCTGCAGTTTTGCAGCTAAGGACACCTGACAAATATCCTGTATCTAGAGCTTCTCCGAAAGTGGAAGGATATCGTCCCATCTTAGAGTTTACTCCCTCCCACAAATACCAAAGTAGTAGCATTTTAAAGCTGTCAGGGTACAAATCATAGAACCATAGAATGGTTTGTGTTGAAAGAGACCTTAAAGATCATTCAGCTTCAACCCCCTGCCATGGGCAGGGGCACCTCCCACTAAACCAGGTTGATCAAAATCTCATCCGGCCTGGCCTTGCACACTTCCAGGGATGGGGCTTCCACGGTTTCTCCGGGCAACCTGTTCCAGTGCCTCACGACCCTCACAAAACACAAATTTCTTCCTAGTTTCTGATCTAAATCTACCCTCTTTCAGCTCAAAACCATTACCACCCTGATAAAGAGTCCTTCCCCTTACTGCCTGCAGGCCCCCTTTAAGTACTGGAAGGTCGCTATAACGTCCTCCCTGAGCCTGTTCTTCTCTCGGCTGAACAATCCCAGCTCTCCCAGCCTGCCCTCACAGGAGAGGTGCACCAGCTCCCTAATAATTTTGGGGGCCCTCCTCTGGACTTGCTTCAACAGGTCCATGTCATTCTTATGTTGGGGGCCCCAGAGATAAACACAGTACTGTAGGTGTGATCTCATGAGAACAGAGGGGCAGAATCTCCTCCCTCGACCTGCTGGCCATGCTTCTTTCGATGCAGCCCAGGATGTAACTAACTGGGTTTCTGGGCTGCGAGTGCACATGGCTGGCTCACGATCAAAGACCAACACGCAACTCCCCTCAGGACTAGACCTTGAACGTTCCTCGCCATGGGATTGAGCACAAAGACAGTAACTCTTCTAGCTCTTATCAGCTACAGTTTATACACAGTATTTAAACATGCCCAGAAGAGTTCTCTGACACTGAGGTGGGCTGGCCTCTACATCCTTGGGCTCTAGAGCAGGTAACACTCAAGCTGCCTATCAGGAAGAGTCCCTGGATCACCGTAGTTCTTTACCAGGGGAAGAAGTTTTTGGAAGAGGCTAGTGTGCAGAGGCTAAAATCCTTACCAAGGACCACTTGAGTAATCTGCCAGTACAGATAATCTTGTTCAGGTACCTGGGAATAAATATTCCATGACATTGTTTAGTTCATTACTACAGAAAAAGCCAATGTGTATTTGTGTTTGCCTGTGGATCAAAAATAGGAGAAAAAAAAACCCAAACAAAATACTTCGGAGGCACCAGCACAGAATGCAAAGCAGGCCCTTAGCTGTTTGCTGTGCACCACACTCACAAAGAACATTGGTAACTTGCTTTGTTCCTTCATGCCAATTTCTCCGTCAGATTACTAACCTGATTTCAAACCTCTCAATTTAATTATTACCTCCGATGCCCAAGGCATGCATGCACAATTGAAATTAGCACTGTATTTTCTTTTAAACAAAGTATCTAAAAAGGTATGAGGTATGAAGAAGACATCCTCCCTTCACTGAAAGAGATGTAACCTTCAGGCTTTGACAGAAAGGGATCAAGTAAGTAAGAACCAGCCTTGTCTTCAGAGATGCAAAGCCATACAATACACAGTTTGGCTTTTTTCCAAGTCAGGAATCACAAATGCAATAGCCCTACTCTAAAGCACAAAGCTAATATTAAAGAGGAGTCAGAAAAATCTCTTGCAAGGCCATGGGAAAACTGCATTTGAAATTCTGACAGGGTGGTAAAAACCTCTGAGAAAGAGTTTGATTAACTACAAGTTAGGGATTTCCCAAAATAAAGCAGGCTTTTTTGGAAAGTGATGGGGCAAGAGACTGGATAACAGTCTGGCTTTCCTCTACTTTGTGCAGATGTGTGCAATCAAAGATCCCGCTGACAGACCATAGCTGTAGATTTGCAGAGAACGAACAGATCTTCAAACAGCTACTTAACACTACATGTTATGTGACATGTCATTAGACATCATTCTGCCAAAAATCTAAATTATGACAGCTCACTGCTGTTCCAACAACCAAATGACATCCCTCCAAACCCCAGAAAGCTTCCTCAAAGTCTTAGCTTGTCTGGAAAGCAACAGATAAAGCTCCGTATACAGAAAATAAGCATCACAGGATAAACACGTAATTTAAAAACTGCAAGACAACAGAATCATTAATGAGAGAAACCAAAGGAGGTTCTCTAACTTGTCTCATTCCTGTGAAGTTCAGTAGATAAGAGTCTAAAGTTTTTGACTTTACACACCGTCCATTAGTCACAGCACTTCTAAGCAAATAAAGAAGCATACAGTGAGTCTCAGAGCGGAGCACACGATGAAAAAGAACCCCACGGATGTTTACCCAATCAACTTGCCCTGGCTATTAGTGAGGGGCAGGGGAGAGAGAGGAAGCATTGGCTGAGATCTCAGTCTCTTAGAAGGACAGGTAAAATAGCTTTCTCATTGGCTTTCCCTGAAGCTGTGTGTAGGCAGGGCCAAGGTGTGGCCGCCACCCCCTTGCAGAGTTTTATTTTTGCTCTTTCCTCTGCCTCCAGAATGTATTGAGAGAAGTACTTTCCACAACAAAATCTACAAAGACTCCTCAAATTAAACAGCACTGAGTCTCTGCAATGGCGAGGGTAAATTTTCTTTCTGAATT